TGTTATACTCAAATTCTGTCAGTTGAAATGTAACCAATCACAGGCAAGTAGGCCTCTGACGTCATCCCAGACAGAGGAGCATCAAGCCATGCTCCCAGCAGCCTCAGTTATCCTCACAGACCCAGAGTAGGTGGACCTCGGCTGGCCAGTTATACACCTGTTTGCCTCACTCAATAAATATATATACAGAAGCGACTACTGTGTCTACATTCAACCCGAACAAGGCAAACGAATACTGGTAGCAGCAGTGGGATCCAGAATTTTTTTTCTGGAAGCAAAGTTCCAGTACCCAGCATCGCCTCGGTTCCAGCCAAAACCGCCGCCACCGCCACCGCCACCGCCATAAGCCGCCATCCTGCCACCCACCGCATCAAATATTGTGCCAGACCGGGGTCCTGCCATCAACCACTACTCCAGGCTAACGTTTTAGAAGTAAGGGTCAATATCTTCCTGTGAGAACGCTCACTCATCAGTGAGGAGGAAGGAAGCTTCCCGCGCCAGCCATTTTTGAACCTCGCGCCACCACGTGGGAACCACCTATTACACCCACCACCACCACCACCGCCACCCAAGCTGACAGTATCAAGCTTCGTGAGGGTGCAAGCTACTGCAATCGTCGTCAGCCATCGTCGCAAGTATCAACTGGTATTCGTTATTCCATCGTCGCAATATTGTCGTCGTCAGAATTTATCTTCGTGCCTCTAGCGTGAACAGTGTGGGGTCCCTGAGTCTCGCGCCACCGCCGCCAGGAGCGCTGCCGTCGCATCCAGTTTGTAAACACGCCTCACATGGGCCTCTTCAGATCTTCACGACGCTTCTCCTACTTTGGCTACTGGTGATCCTCATAAATTACAACCCTGAGATAAGTAATTGCTAGTTGAGAACAGCGTGCCAAGTGTTAAAAAGTGACTTATGTAATAATTCCCATAATATCCTGTGAATTAACCATTCAGTGACTTGTTAAATATTGGAGCCGGTTTAGTACTCCAGAGGCCCACAGTTTCTCTGAGACATTTCATATTCCCTGCATATGATTCCATTATTCATTAATTGTTACTAGTGTCATTACTGAATTCAAAGGTGAGAGAAGTAAGAAATAATTGTTTCTAGCAGTTATATACATTCCTGTGTCCAGTTTATGTGCTACATACATATTTCTTGCATTGCCACTTGCTGTGTTGAATCTTTTTAATGAAATTTTGCAATTGCATTTCCCAGTTTTTATTCTAAATTGCTGTGCTTAGTCTGGTTTAATTAATTTACATACATCTAATTCCAGTCATTTTTTTAATGAAAGATTGCTAAATTTAGTTTACAATTGCTTGTTCTTGATATTTTCTTGCCTAGCCCAATTTAATAATTTTATTTCTGTCATTTTTACTTTAGCCAAGTTGATATTTTTTGTGTTTATTTTTGTGTATACTATTTCTGATGCCAGGTGCACTTAATTATAATCTGCGTTCAAATATTACTTCCACGGCTGTGACAATGCCTACCACTGTTGAAACCCCTTCAGAATCAATGGGAACAGTTGCTCGTCCAATGGCCAGAGATCAGCTCAGGAAATGGCTATTCCTCTTTTTGCTGGGGAATCGCGTTTATTAGAATCATGGTTTAGTAAGGTTGAAGCGAAAACAGTTGCACGTTTTTCTAAGCCTACTGATGCCGAATACTTAGCAATTGCACGGTCAGCCGTGGACACAACCAAAGGTGATGCACGTTTTGTTGTTGATGAGAAAGCCATTGTTAGCCTCCAGTCTTGGCCTGAATTTAAGGATTTCTTTCGCCGTCGCTTTGTTAATAAAGGAGACCTTGACCCATATAGGTTAGTCAAGAAAAATTGCCAATGCCACCATGCAGCCTGGTGAATCGTTTAATGCGTTTACTAGCCGTCTCGATCAGTATCTGTATGCCTTAGTTTCTGCTATGAATAATTCAACTTGGTTAGATAAAGACAATAATCTGTCCCCTGAGGCTATGGCCAAAATGATAGCATTTGGTACTTTAATGCATTTTGCCCCCGAGCATACAAAACCAATCGTTGAGCAACAAAATTTGGTGTTAAACATGAAATTGGTGAAGTATTTGAGGCTATTAACAATGCCGCAGATAAACTAGCTCCCCGAAGTGCTCAACTGTTGCCACCCTCTGATGCTGTAAATGTAGTTACAAGCTCTCAGCATCCCTCCCAAATTCTCAAAACTCTTGGTCGCAGAAGCGTACCCATGCTCGTAGCCCCCAGTCAAATTCGCCGCCTCATAAAATGCCGAAACGCCATAGTCCACAACCATCCACTCCCTCATGTTGGCATTGTGGTAAGAGTAACCACCTTGCAAGGGACTGTTGGTCCGCCCCTAGATCATCACCTCCTAGACAATTCTCTCGGCCCCCTCATCAATCTAATCATTCTAGGCTTCCATATTGCACGTACCATAAACAAGTTGGTCACCACACTGCGGATTGTAGAGCTAGGCAAAGGACATCTCCACCTCGTAACTCCCATGGTCAGTCTTGGCGAGGCTCACAGCGTCCAAGACATTATCAGAACTCTCGTAATTACAACTCCCAGCCCAGCTATAATGCAACTTCAAATTATAATGCTCAGTCACAGAATGCTGGAGCTCAGAATGTTCACTCCATGTCGTCGGGAAACCCCCAAGGCCATCCGCTAACCAATTCAAGCTAGCCAATCCTAGTGCCCTCCCTGTGTATTCAGTAGCTACCCAAAATAGATTTGGACACTTGACAGAGGAGGACACTGACTCTAGACCTCTAGACCAGTTGTAGATGTTGACGGATCAGTTGTAGATGTTGACGGATCCACAGTAAATTTGACACATGTAATAATTTTGTTTAGGCAATACCTTGAGTTGTATTGTTCATATCTGATCAGTAGACATACACATGTTCTTAATACTCTGGTTTAATCAAAGAATTGTTACCATGATTTTCACCTATTATGATGAATTTTTTTTTGGTGCATATATGCCGAGTTGTTAGTATTACGCACACCTGATCTTCTTTCAATGTTTTATTATGCAAATTTCACATGTAAGCCATTATTGAATGCCACCGAGGTCCTTTCAGTATCATTGTAACTATATAGCTAGCCAGAGCTTGTCGACAAGGGACGTCGACTTGGTAGCGTGTCCGAGCGGTGTTATACTCAAATTCTGTCAGTTGAAATGTAACCAATCACAGGCAAGTAGGCCTCTGACGTCATGCCAGACAGAGGAGCATCAAGCCATGCTCCCAGCAGCCTCAGTTATCCTCACAGACCCAGAGTAGGTGGACCTCGGCTGGCCAGTTATACACCTGTTTGCCTCACTCAATAAATATATACAGAAGCGACTACTGTGTCTACATTCAACCCGAACAAGGCAAACGAATATATACGGCCTTCTTGGTGGCCCATGATAACTGGGCCACTTCTTGGTGTGTGTGTGTGTGTGTGTGTGTGTGTGTGTGTGTGTGCTGTGTGTGTGTGTGTGTGTGTGTGGTGTGTGTGTGTGTGTGTGTGGTGTGGTGTGTGTGTGTGTGTGTGTGCGTGTGTGTGTGTGTGCGTGTGTGTGTGTGTGTGTGTGTGTGTGTGTGTGTGTGTGTGTGTGTGTGTGTGTGTGTGTGTGTGTGTGCGTGTGTGTGTGTGTGTGTGTGTGTGTGTGTGTGTGTGTGTGTGTGCGTGCGTGTGTGTGTGTGTGTGTGTGTGTGTGGTGTGTGTGTGTGTGTGTGTGTGCGTGTGTGTGTGTGTGTGTGTGTGCGTGTGTGTGTGTGTGTGTGTGTGTGTGTGTGTGTGCGTGTGTGTGTGTGTGTGTGTGTGTGTGTGTGTGTGTGTGCGTGTGTGTGTGTGTGTGTGTGTGTGTGTGTCTGAAGGTTAACTGGGACGAGACGGGTGGTATTGACTCCATACATGGGCCTCAATAATATGTATTATGAAGCACAAACTACGCCAGAAAATTTGAGCCCAGGAGCTGAAGCTTGATCTCTTCACACAAAGCTAGGTGAGTGCATCTTAAATTACATAATTACATACAAAGGGGAACTAAAGAAATTATAAAACAGTTTGTTCTAATGCTGGTCGAAGGCTGAGATCTCTCTCTCTCTCTCTCTCTCTCTCTCTCTCTCTCTCTCTCTCTCTCTCTCTCTCTCTCTCTCTCTCTCTCTCTCTCTCTCTCTCTCTCTCTCTCTCTCTCTTGAACACTTGAACACTTGACAAGGTCCTCGGATCTTCGCCAACAATGACGACACGACACTTCACTGATAAGGGGCGGTGGCGGAGTGGTCAGTGAACAGTCTGGCTAATTCAGTTGTTCTGGGTTCGAATCTTAGCGAGGAGTGAAAATTTTCATTTAAATGTCTCATATTATATGAGGATGTTGGTATTATATCAGCTCACACGTAATGTATAAAAGGAAATTAAACTGATTCACCAATGACGGGCTCACCATAGCCCGTGCTACATGGACATTTTGTTCTGAGTAGCTAAATTTAAATCAACAACAACGGTTCACCAATATGCAGTGCAATGAGGTGGAAGTATGAGGCTTGGACTGATTAGTGCAGCTGCAACGGCTTCACTTCCTGCAGATCCGCGCTCGATCCCCTACAGTCCAAGTCGCTGGGCACAGTTACCTTCTGGAGGCTGACCTGGGTATAAGTCACCATGCCCACGCTTGTCACGGCGCCCTCACAATAATACCGATGCCCGTGGCAGTACAGGAGTTGTGAGTGCCTCTTGGTTATCTTGAGGTTATCTTGAGATGATTTCAGGGCTTTAGTGTCCCCGCGGCCCGGTCCTCGACCAGGCCTCCACCCCCCAGGAAGCAGCCCGTGACAGCTGACTAACACCCAGGTACCTATTTTACTGCTAGGTAAATAGGGTGAAAGAAACTCTGCCCATTGTTTTCGCCGGCGCCTGGGATCGAACCCAGAACCACAGGATCACAAGTCCAGCGTTCTGTCCGCTCGGCCGACCGGCTCCCTCAACCCGTGCTCTCAACTAATACGTACAAATTACAGTGTACCAGGAAGAGTAGCGGCCCACAGAAATCGACGTTTTCTGTGCATCCGTTGATTAGGTTAAGTGGGTGGTTTGGGTTCGTACGTTTCTGGTTAGGTTAGGACGTTGTATTTTGCACGTTGTGGCAGACCAAGAGAACGAGGTGGATAGTGTGTCCGTGTGTGTGTAAGGCCCTCTGGCTGTGTCAGGACCTCTGGTTGGGTCACTTTGTGACCCAAGACCCAAGGTCACAAGGACGTCAAGGTCCTCTGGTTGGGTCACTTTGTATCCCTTCAACCCATCCACCGTCAACCCATCCACCGTCAACCCATCCACCATCAACCCATCCACCGTCAACCCATCCACCGTCAACCCATCCACCGTCAACCCATCCACCGTCAACCCATCCACCGTCAACCCATCCACCGTCAACCCATCCACCATCAACCCATCCACCATCAACCCATCCACCGTCAACCCATCCACCGTCAACCCATCCACCATCAACCCATCCACCATCAACCCATCCACCGTCAACCCATCCACCGTCAACCCATCCACCGTCAACCCATCCACCATCAACCCATCCACCGTCAACCCATCCACCATCAACCCATCCACCGTCAACCCATCCACCGTCAACCCATCCACCATCAACCCATCCACCGTCAACCCATCCACCGTCAACCCATCCACCGTCAACCCATCCACCATCAACCCATCCACCATCAACCCATCCACCGTCAACCCATCCACCGTCAACCCATCCACCATCAACCCATCCACCATCAACCCATCCACCATCAACCCAGAATTGGCCGCTATAGTCACTGAACGCCCCGACCAAATACCGTTCTTGACAAGAGCTACGACAGGCCTCCCGGGCACATGAACAAGGTGGCGGCGCCCCCTAGGAACAATAACCACGTTACCAAAGACGGGCAGTTTCTCCCGGGCGCTAACGAGATCCCAAATGCAGCTAACGAGGTCAAAGTAACTCGCACCATCAGCCTTAGTGTGGGTCTCTCCTTATCGTGAAGAAGGTCCTCCTTCTTGGCATCCAAGAAATGTAAATATTGCCCAATTGTTTGCTGATTATTTAGTTCTGACTCTTCATATATCTTATATTGTTCTTTTCTTGAGAAGGAAGTTGAAAAACTCCGAAGATCATGTTATAATTTTGCTGGATCGGATGCGTTTCGCTGAAGCTCTCTTCAGCATCTTCGGGGGCTCAAGATATATAAATTATATATATAAATTACCGGATAAATACACCAGATATATAAATTATATAAGTTTAGAGTCGGGTAAATACTGGTTCGGAAAGTTGACCAGACCACACACTAGAAGGTGAAGGGACGACGACGACGTTTCGGTCCGTCCTGGACCATCAACTTGAGAATGATCCAGGAGGGACCGAAACGTCGTCGTCCCTTCACCTTCTAGTGTGTGGTCTGGTCAACTTACTTTAGCCACGTTATTGTGACTCATCGCCTGCACTGGTTCGGAAAGTAGTTGTTACTATAAATACTATATCGTCAGGCGCGTTGTCTTGTCTGTATATTGAGATCGTTGGGTATGACAGTCCCTAAGAGGGCAGATGAAGACACTTGTCTCCTACGGTGTTGTGTTTGGTGTCGGGAGAGTTGGGGGTCTTCTTACATATGTAGTACAGGTTGAGCTGTATGTGTTTAGTGTTGGCAGGGTCACATATGTCATGTTCTTCATCACTCTCTCCTACATATAGTGTCCGTCTGAAAGAATTTCACTTAGAATTAGATAGTCTTAGATAGTTTTAAAGACTGTATTGGCTGTAGTGTTGGTCACTTCATCAGAGGTAACAGGCATTTATCTTTCCATGTAATAGCTTCATAAGCAGTAGAATAACCGTTGTTAACAATGACCGACCTGCTTCAATCTACAGAGTCCTCGTCAGCTTCCACCTGAGGCCGGGTGATACGGCTGACATACGGGTCAATATCATTTCTCGTGTACCGCTCAGGAAGCGAACTACGACCATTAAAGTGTTCTGATGTTACCTCTCACAGTTTAGTCGTCATTCCTCGTGTCGTAAGCGTAACTAAGCACCGAATTTTGCTCAAAATCTTGTTTTTTCATCAGTACCATTCGCCTTAAATTTGGTATTTGTAATTATCTTGCAACATACCTGCAATTGATGTCCGGTGCGCGGCCTAGGTCATTACGGCCCAGTCCTCAAGGGTTGCCATTTATAAATTCGTTGATTGAACACAAGGGACGGCGGGGGGGGGGGGGACAGTCAATGGAGACACTTGGTTATATGTTATACACATCTGCTTGTTTATATATATATATATATATATATATATATATATATATATATATATATATCTCCCTCCCCTCCCCCCCCCACATGTACTGGCACGCATGGTGCTCGTGTCAGGGTTCGTCGCCCGCACCTTTGGGCGTGAGTGACACCCTTCACGTTTTTTATTCGTTTAGTTTGTACAAACGAAAGCAATAACGGTTTTTCCGGGTTCAATTGGGTCCTAATTGTTTGTGTGCTTTGCATGTCAACACTGACTGCATGTTGGTGTGCAGGAGAGAGGGAGACACACACACACACACACACACACACACACACACACACACACACACACACACACACACACACACACACACACACACACACACACACACACACAGGGCCGAAAGAGGCGGGCCGAAAGAGCAAAGCTCAACCCCGTAAAAACACAACTAGTAAACACACACACACACACACACACACACACACACACACACACACACACACACACACACACACACACACACACACACACACACACACACAGGGCCGAAAGAGGCGGGCCGAAAGAGCAAAGCTCAACCCCCGTAAAAACACAACTAGTAAACACACACACACACACACACACACACACACACACACACACACACACACACACACACACACACACACACACACACACACACACACATATATATATGGGGGCCTCGTAGCCTGGTGGATAGCGTGCAGGACTCGTAATTCTGTGGCGCGGGTTCGATTCCCGCACGAGGCAGAAACAAATGGGCAAAAGTTTCTTTCACCCTAAGTGCCCCTGTTACCTAGCAGTAAATAGGTACCTGGGAGTTAGTCAGCTGTCACGGGCTGCTTCCTGGGGGTGTGTGTGTGTGTGGTGTGGGGGAAAAAAAAAAAAGTAGTTAGTAAACAGTTGATTGACAGTTGAGAGGCGGGCCGAAAGAGCAGAGCTCAACCCCCGTAAAACACAACTAGTAAACACACACACACACACACGACAAGCGAGCAGGGTCGATTGCGCTTGATTCAGAATTCCTTGGGACTACTTGAGACGACCAATTGAGGTTAAATTGAAATTGCTGATTCTCAAACGAATTGCAAAAATAATGAGCCAGCCAGACAGACAGACAGACAGTCAGACAGTCAGACAGACAGACAGACAGACAAGCAGGCAGGCAGGCAGACAGCTAGACAAACAGACAGACAGACAGACAGACAGACAGTCAGACAGGCAGCCAGACAGACAGGCAGCCAGCCAGCCAGCCAGCCAGACAGACAGACAGTCAGCCAGACAGACAGACAGCCAGCCAGACAGACAGCCAGCCAGACAGACAGCCAGACAGACAGCCAGACAGACAGGCAGCCAGACAGACAGGCAGCCAGCCAGCCAGCCAGCCAGACAGACAGCCAGACAGACAGACAGACAGACAGACAGCCAGACAGACAGTCAGACAGCCAGACAGACAGACAGACAGCCAGACAGACAGGCAGCCAGACAGGCAGCCAGACAGACAGACAGACAGACAGACAGACAGACAGCCAGCCAGACAGACAGACAGACAGACAGACAGACAGACAGACAGCCAGACAGACAGACAGACAGACAGCCAGACAGACAGACAGACAGACAGACAGACAGCCAGCCATCCAGCCAGACAGACAGACAGACAGACAGACAGCCAGCCAGCCAGACACAGACAGACAGACAGCCAGACAGACAGACAGACAGACAGCCAGCCAGCCAGACAGACAGACAGACAGACAGCCAGCCAGACAGACAGACAGACAGACAGACAGACAGCCAGCCAGCCAGACAGACAGACAGCCAGACAGACAGACAGACAGACAGACAGCCAGACAGACAGACAGACAGACAGACAGCCAGACAGACAGACAGACAGACAGCCAGACAGACAGACAGCCAGCCAGCCAGACAGACAGACAGACAGGGGGTGTTAGACCACGTGTTGACCCCTCCATATCAGCATCACAATATCTCAATAAGAACCAGGAGCCTTACAGCTGACAAAGGTGGCTTCGTCTTTAATATATTTAATGTCTTGCCTGAGCTCGTAATCTCTACAGCGCGCGCGCACGCACGCATTACTGTGTGGAGGAGGAAGGGAAGGAGGAGCACACGGTATATAATCCTGGTCATAGTTCAAGACTCTATGGGGGAGCCGGTCGGCCGAGAGGACAGCACGCTGGACTTGTGATCCTGTGGTCCTGGGTTCGATCCCAGGCGCCGGCGAGAAACAATGGGCAGAGTTTCTTTCACCCTATGCCCCTGTTGCCTAGCAGTAAAATAGGTACCTGGGTGTTAGTCAGCTGTCACGGGCTGCTTCCTGGGGGTGGAGGCCTGGTCGAGGACCGGGCCGCGGGGACACTAAAAGCCCCGAAATCATCTCAAGATAACTATCAGGGTGGAGGCTGGGATGACCAGTTGTCTGAGCATTTAAGCTACCTGGTACCTTATGTACTCAGTTGTACTCACTTAGTTGTATTTGCGGGGGGTTGAGCTCTGGCTCTTTGGTCCCGCCTCTCAACCGTCAATCAACAGGTGTACAGATTCCTGAGCCTACTGGGCTCTATCATATCCACACTTGAAACTGTGTATGGAGTCAGCCTCCACCACATCACTGCCTAATGCATTCCATTTGTCAACCACTCTGACACTAAAAAAGTTCTTTCTAATATCTGTGTGTGTGTGTGTGTGTATGTGTGTGTGTGTGTGTGTGTGTGTGTGTGTGTGTGTGTGTACTCACGTAGTTGTGCTTGCGGGGTGGTTGAGCTTCGCCTGTTTGATCCCGCCTCTCAACTGTCAATCAACTGGTGTACCTGAGGACAGGTTCTGTGTGTGTGTGGGAGGGGGGGGGGAGGGGATAGTATACCAAACCTCCCCCACGACAGGTATACCCCCCGCCCCCCCCCCCACCCCTAAACAACCAACATTGAGCGCCTGTCATTAATACTGATAAATTCATGTTTACCATCCGCCAGAGGTCGCCGTGGCTGCTAGGGTTCTCGACTTATCCAGGTCAAGGATCCAGGATTCGATCCCCGGACGGGATATAAGTGGTTGGGCACGTTTCCTTTCACTTGATGCCTCTGTTCACCTACCTGGGTACCTGAGGCAGGTGTAGCGGGTTACAACCTAAGGAAGTTCACCTTTTTTACCTAGCGGGACTTGGAATCAGACTTAGGGGGACCTCGAATCAGGCTTAGGGAGGACCTCGAATCAGACTTAGGGAGGACCTCGAATCAGACTTAGGGGGACCTCGAATCAGGCTTAGGGGGACCTGGAATCAGACTTAGGGAGGACCTCGAATCAGACTTAGGGGGACCTCGAATCAGACTTAGGGGGACCTCGAATCAGACTTAGGGGGACCTCGAATCAGACTTAGGGGGACATCGAATCAGACTTAGGGGGACCTCGAATCAGACTTAGGGGGACCTCGAATCAGACTTAGGGGGACCTCGAATCAGACTTAGGGGGACCTCGAATCAGACTTAGGGGGACTTCGAATCAGACTTAGGGGGACCTGGAATCAGGCCTAAACTGTAGACTTTCACAAAAGTTCAATAAAGTAGAA